AGCGAAGAGAGGTAAAGGCTACTAGAACTCGATACCGCCAAATCAATCGAAATCCTTCAAGTGTAAAATGAGATCCGTAGCGATTTTTACCCTTACTATATATGCTGAAAAATGTTAAGAAAGCAAACTGTAGGCAGAGGCAGTAGGCGCCGGCACTAGAAGGGACATGGATGGCACCAAGAGTGGCATCAATCTAATAAAAAAAGAGGGGAAGGGCTTTGTGTTGACGCATTGCATGCGCATGCCATTGCTTATATAGAATGGAATGAAATTGACTTTTTCAGCAACAATAAACTTCCTCTTATTCTAATCTGATTCCTCATTTTTTTGACTTTTCATAATTTAAATCTCGAAAGATTTTAAAATTTGTACTTTATACTGTTAAATAATAATTTTTTAATATTATATCCTCAATGTATTAAAAATATTATAATGTGACCTTTTTGATAATTTTTTTTATTTTTTGCGTCCAAAGTCAACTCATTGACACCGACTACAAAACTAAAAAAAAATTAATAGAAATGTCACATTGTAATACTTTCAATACATTTAATGTATAATGTGAAAATTTTAATATTTGAATGTGTAAAGTGAGAATTTTAAAATCTTTTAAAATACAAAATACAANATGCTGAAAAATGTTAAGAAAGCAAACTGTAGGCAGAGGCAGTAGGCGCCGGCACTAGAAGGGACATGGATGGCACCAAGAGTGGCATCAATCTAATAAAAAAAGAGGGGAAGGGCTTTGTGTTGACGCATTGCATGCGCATGCCATTGCTTATATAGAATGGAATGAAATTGACTTTTTCAGCAACAATAAACTGCCTCTTATTCTAATCTGATTCCCAACAACCAATTTTCTCATTTTTTTGACTTTTCATAATTTAAATCTCGAAAGATTTTAAAATTTGTACTTTATACTGTTAAATAATAATTTTTTAATATTATATCCTCAATGTATTAAAAATATTATAATGTGACCCTTTTGATAATTTCTTTTATTTTTTGCGTCCAAAGTCAACTCATTGACATTGACTACAAAACTAAAAAAAAATTAATAGAAATATCACATTGTAATACTTTCAATACACTTAATGTATAATGTGAAAATTTTAATATTTGAATGTGTAAAGTGAGAATTTTAAAATCTTTTAAAATACAAAATACAATTAGCTCCATTTTCTTTGGTGGGAAATCGTAAATAAGCAGACAAGTACTCAAATTATAATTTTTCTGAAATTTAACCACTGAAATTTGTTACAACCAAAATAATGATATACTGCCATACCAATCAGTTTCATTTAAATTTAGAGTTAATTATCTATTTGGCCTCCGAACTATATAATTTGTGTCAATCAAGTATTTAAACTATATTTTGTGTCAATTTAGCCTACAAACTATAACATTTGTGTCAATATAACTCATCCGTCCAAATTTATCATTAAATTTGAAAAAATTCTACACGAGTAAAACACGTGACCCTATACTATACACCTTATCCCCGTGTTGTACACATTAAGGGTTAAATAGTTAACTCTTTAAATTTGTCATAAAACCATCCAACGAGTCTCCTTCCTTAAACAATCAAACAAAAACTGGAAAACCCAGTCAACCCCGGCATCAAATTCATCCTAGCGTATACAAACAAAAAATTATTAGTCACTCAGCCACCTCTGAGAGAATCCAATGGAGCAGAGCCAACCACACTATTGTTTGCTGTGTTCTAGATTCAACGAAATGTCCCACAGTCCAAGTCATTTTGTTTGATTTTTGTGTCACAAAAGTACACAAACGCCAAAAGTCAGGCCCACATTAAACGCGTACACACCCATTATAATTACCATACAACGCGTATTTCCCAGTTTTACTTTGACGGTTCTGCGTCTGACCATTCCATTATCTTCACCACTTCTTCCTCTTTCCTCACCCTTCAATTATCTCTTTTGCTTCTCTAAAACTTGGAGTCATTGCCGTGTGAACATCAAAGTGATTGTGGTCGGCCATGGTCATGATCCACTAGGCACAAAGGCGAAGTTGATAGGTTATAATTCCTTAACCTCTTCACTTTTCAATCTTATGGGTGTCTCTCATAGTAGTGTCCAATGAGAATTTCACTCATTTCCTGGATTTTCTTCATACCCTTGTTCCAAATCTTATCAGGCATCGATATTGTATTGCTTTTCGGGCAATGTCTCAACGATCAGCAGTCGTTGTTGCTCAAGTTCAAGAAAAGTCTCAATTTCAATTCAAGCATATCCACCAAGCTGGTATACTGGAATCAAAGCACAGATTGTTGCTATTGGGAAGGTGTAAATTGCGACAGCGCAGGCCATGTTATCTGGCTAAACTTGGACAATGAATCAATCACAGGTGGAATTGAGAATGCAAGTAGTCTTTTCAGTCTTCGGTTTCTTCAAAATCTGAGTTTGGCCAACAACAACTTCAATTACTCTCTTATTCCACCCAGGATTAACAACCTTACCAGTTTGATGTATTTGAATCTGTCTAATGCTGGTTTTGGTGGGCAAGTTCCAAGATTTTCGCAACTGAAAAGGTTGGTAACCCTTGATCTATCCACCACCCTTTACTTTGCCGGACTTCCATCTCTGAAACTAGAGAACCCAAATTTAAGGATGTTCGTTCAGAACTTGAAAGTGCTCAGGGAACTTCATCTTGATGGTGTTAATGTATCGACGAAGGGAAATGAGTGGTGCCAGGCCTTGTCGTCATCGTTACCTAATTTGCAAGTCTTGAGCTTATCTAATTGTAATCTTTCAGGCCCTATTAATTCTTCTCTTGAAAATCTTCAGTCTCTTTCCGAGATCCGTCTGAGTCAGAATAATCTAAGTACCTCTGTTCCTGAATTCTTGGCAAATTTCGTGAATTTGACAGTCTTGCGTCTAAGTTCTTGTAATTTGTATGGAACATTTCCAGCAGCTATATTCCAGGTACCAACTCTACAGACACTCGATTTGTCTACCAATAGATTACTTCAGGGTTCTTTGCCAGAATTTCCCCGCAATGGATCTCTTCAGACACTGGTGCTTAGTTGCACGAACTTTTCGGGAACACTACCATTGTCTATCGGTAACCTTAGGATGTTGTCCAGGATAGAGCTAATGAATTGCAGTTTCAGTGGACCATTACCAAATTCAATGACAAACCTTACTCAGCTTTCGTTATTTGGACTTGTCATCCAACGGGTTTGAGGGTTCAATCCCATCGTTTAACCGGTCCAGGAATCTCACTCACATAGACCTTTCTCGTAATGACTTAAGAGAACCAATCCCTTCCTCTTTTGTTGAAGGTCTTCTCAATCTTGTATACGTGGACTTGAGATTCAATTCATTAAACGGAACGATTCCATCATCTCTGTTCAATCTCCCATCATTGCAGAAACTTCAGCTTTCCAACAACCATTTTGATGGTCAGCTAGCTGATTTTCTCAATGCATCTCAGTTGGATACAGTAGATTTGAGTAGCAACAATTTAAATGGACCTATTCCCCAATCCTTATTTGATCTCAAAAGGCTTAATATCCTCTCACTGTCATCCAACAACTTCACCGGCATTGTACTGCTTGAAATGATTCAGAGGCTCAGTAATCTCACTAAGCTCGATCTGTCATACAACAGCTTGTCAATTAATGCAAGTGGAAGCAATTCTAACTTCTTTTCCAACCTCACCACGTTGAATTTGGCCTCTTGCAATCTCCAAGGGTTTCCTAACCTAAAGAACCAATCAAGGCTGTTCCACTTAGACCTCTCTAACAACCAAATTGGAGGTGAAATACCAAACTGGATCTGGGAAGTTGGCAATGGAAGCCTTGTTTATTTGAATCTTTCTCGTAACCTCTTAGTGGGCCTGCAAGAACCTTTTGTTATTCCAAGTCTCAGTGTCCTTGACCTACATTCCAACAACCTCGGGGGGAAAGTCCCGATACCGCCTCAAGCGTCTGTCTATGTGGATTACTCTAGCAATGATTTCAATTCTTCAATCCCTGCCGACATTGGCAATAACCTCACCTGGGCTTACTTCTTTTCTGTTTCAAATAATAACATCACCGGTAACATCCCTGAATCCATATGCAATGCTAGCTACCTTCAAGTTCTTGATTTGTCCAACAACAGTTTGAGTGGCTCCATACCCTCATGTTTACTTGAACGGAGCGAGACTGTTGGTGTACTGAATCTAGGGGAGAACAATCTCACGGGGAATATTTCTGGGACATTTCAGATTAATTGTGGTCTACAAACGCTAGACCTGCATGGAAATTTGTTGGAAGGAAAGGTTCCGGAATCTCTGGAGAATTGCTCGATGTTAGAGGTGTTAAACCTTGGGAATAACCGGATAAATGATACCTTTCCATGCTTTTTAAAAAACTCTTCCAACTTGCGTGTCCTTGTTTTGCGATCCAACATGTTCTATGGAGGTATTCAGTGCAAAGAGGCAAATCACAGCTGGCCAAATCTTCAAATCATTGACATTTCTTCCAACAATTTTACCGGTGTTCTGCCCCCAAAATGCTTCTTAACGTGGAGGGCTATGATGAATGGCATGGATGATGCTGAATCAGAGATCAATCACCTGCGTTTTGAGTTCCTAAAACTAAATCGATTCTACTATCAGGATACAGTAATGGTTACCATTAAAGGGCTGGAAATTGAGCTGGTGAAAATTGTGACATTGTTCACCTCCATTGATTTCTCAAGCAACAGATTTGAAGGGAACATACCAAATACAGTCGGAGATCTCAAATCACTTCGTGGTCTCAACTTATCTAATAATGCTCTCACGGGCACAATCCCAACATCAATTGGAAACTTGACAGGCTCGAATCTCTAGACCTCTCAGCGAACCAGCTAAGTGGGGAGATTCCGGGGGAGCTTACAAGCCTTACATTCCTAGCTTTCCTGAATTTGTCTGACAATCATCTGGTTGGAAAAATCCCAACAGGCAACCAATTTTCAACTTTTGAGAATACTTCCTTTAAGGGAAACATGGGATTATGCGGGCTTCCATTGATTACAAAATGCTCTGATGCTAGTGTGATACCAACATCACCAAATGCTATGATACCAACATCATCAGCACCAAATGCTACTGAGGTTGATTGGCAGTTCACATTCACTGGGTTGGGATTCGGGGTAGGAGCTGGAGTAATTGTTGCGCCTCTGATGTTCTGGGAGCAAGGGAGGAACTGGTTCAACGAACGCATTGATACTCTTGTTTGGATGATTCTTGCAACATTTGGATTCAAGTACACCGGCTGTGGTGGCGGGAAGGTTGAGGCAGAGGAAAGTATTGAAGAGGAGCCCCTAGATGACACAGAAGAATCTGATGAAGATGAAGATCCAATTGAAGATATAGCACTTCGAGGTCAGTATTGCGTGTTTTGCACAAAACTTGATATCCATAGGAAGAAAGCCATACATAATCCAAAATGCACTTGTCATGACTCGCCACCCATATTTTCTTCTTCTTTCTCATCATCTTGTTCTTCATAGTCACACAATCACCAAAATTTTGATCTTTTTCTTCTTTATTTTCTTGTATATACATACAGATAGCATCAACCCTTGGGTAGGGATGATGAAAAACAAACGCTTCAGTTTTTCCCTGCAATCTCATGATTAAGAACTACTCCCTATTTTCCCCTTATACCAAATTCACGATCCGGGTATGTGGCAAATTCTCTTGGTATGATCTATATTGGTACACACTCATTCACAAATTTCATCAAACACGTGGAGTTCATTCCTTTTTTGGTGTAAAGTGGAACTCATTCAGCCTTAATGCAAACACCATATCGACAAACAAAGCAGACAACAAACAAATAATCTTCAAACGCTACCTTCTAATTTCATGCATAACCAATGTTTCTTTGTAAACGTTTAATACGTACGGCCATTCCCAGTCGCCTCCTTCGTAGCAATAGAAGCCAAATAACAGATCATGTGGGAGGTGGAAGACATTTACGGTAGGTAACCGTGTCGGGTGAGACGACGTATCGAATTTTAGCGGTTTTGTGTCGATAAGTACTTCATTCATGCATTTATTCGTATCCAACGAATAGGGTCATATTTGATTCGGATTGTGTATAAACCAAGTATAATCGGTATATAAACGAGTTGGGTTTTATCTATACTTGATTCGTTTATTAATCATGTTAGATCGATCTACTCGTTTACGAAACGGATAGTTTAAAAAAGACACAAACTCTGTAATTTCGTATCGTGTTAATGAATCGTGTCATGTTTTGACACTCTAATATTTTGAGATATTTCATAATGTTGCGAGATGTATTATAATATTTTAATAAATTTATACAATTATTTCGGAATGTTTCAAGATATTTTAATATATTTAAATCAATATTTTAGAAAAATAATTTTTAAATTTTTTATTTTTTTCTTTATGCTTCCGAAATGGGTCGAAACGTTTTCAAAATACATCGAAACTTTTCCGTTTCCTAAGTGACTGAAATAATACATCGACATAAAATTTTGATCCTTGAATACAAGTATAAGGACGTTGGCTAGTAAGACTTAGGTCAATGTCTATGCGTTGGGTGATTAATGTTCGAATAAATTAATTCTCATAATTGTGATTTAATTAAATAATACAATAACATTTGATCCAATCAATCATAAATATTTTAACTTAAGTAATTAAATTAATATCTACTTACTTAGAAATAGTTTTATGTGTATAACACATAGATGAATACATTTCTATTCATTTTCAAATAAAGTTGAGAATTGTTAGATTGTTTTTGTGTGAATCTTAACTTAACTTATTCAATTAATCATTTTAGATGTCTTGTCACTAGCTCGTATTTGTTTATTATCGTGTTGTATCTGAGTTGATCTATATAACTCGTAAATTAAAATATGCTTCTCAATCAATCCCTCCATTCATAATTGTTTTTAAGGCTAAAAATCTATTTAATTCTATATAATAACAAAAACAAGTAAACAATATTTCTTGATTTATAATAATTATATCAATATGTGATAAAAATATCAAAAATCGGTCTTTTTATGTTGTACTAGTTAATGCAGACTTACGTTGCACATATATCATTGTGAGTTATGATTTTTTTATAATATTTTTACATTGATTATGAATTAAAATATATGTAGTGAAACTAATCTATAATTTTATTATCAACGTCTGTTAATTTATTCATATCTAATAAATAACTTAATTATTGTAAGACATAATACTTAGTTAGTTTAGGTTTCAATAAGAGTTTTATATGATCAACTATGATATATTATAGGATAATGGCATTACAAAGCTTGATTTCTAAATAAGATCTAGCTTAAGTCTGATTTTTGATAGGAAATTGGCCGCATCAAATTCCTCATTGTAGGCGTCTTAATTTTAGTTAATGTCTAGAAAACATTGAAATAATATTTATTATTACTTGAGAATGATATTCACTTATAAGTGAAACAAGCATCCACTAAATGAAAGGCTTAAAAAGAATGCATAAAATTATATCAATTCTTAAAATATATGCCTCTCAATGAGATGATCATAAACTATAACCAGGGCAAGAGGAAAAATCTAATATGCCAAAATTCTGCAAGGTTAAAAGGCAGAAAATTCTGCAATGCTAGAAAGATGAGATAAGTTAGGAAAAATTTCAGTCACATCCCTTCTAATTTTTTATCTATTATCAAAGATTTTTTATCTATTATCAAAAATATCACTGACACCCCTTTTAGTTTATATTTAAACATCGCTGACACCCCTGTCATTAAACCACCATTTCTAACAAAATTTTGTTTTTATCTAAAATACGAAAAATACCCCATACATAAACACCAAACAATCTTTCTACATAAAATTTGAGTCGATTGAAATTTATTTTTCTACATATTAAAATTCAAATTGATTAAAATTCTTTTTTCTACATTTTAAAATTTGGGTTAATTAAAATTCGATTCGAGCTGATAAAATTTTAGATTTGATTTAGTACTCAAAGTTCTGAAGTATTTGTTTGTAGACATATTTACGTAGAGAGGTAGAGAGAGATGGAGAGAGGGACACCTTTTGAGAGATTGAAACTACACCTATGTAGCCATGACTTTAGAATCTTAGGCATAACCAAACAAACTGAAGCAATAAGAGTTTGTTTTCTTCATCATCCTCCCATTGAACTCTTAAACCAACAAAAATATATAATCCCCGAGAGATATTCAATCAATAATGAAAACATGAATAGTTTACAAATAAAAAAATGAGACTTACTACTTTAGAGAGAGCTTTTCTGCGCAATGAATTTGAGAAAGCTAAAGAACTCAAAAGTGAATCACTTTACTAAGAGAAGTGTGAGAAAGAAGTTATGGAGAAGTAACAAATTACGAAGTAGCAACTGTGAAGTTATTGAGATAAAAAATGAAAGGTTGAAAATACAATAAGGAATAGAAACAGGGAAAAAATAAGAAGCCTGTCAAGTGTTAATGCTAATTACGTGTTCACCATTTGTCTTTTGGTATTTCGAATATTAAACGATGTATTAATTGGTATTTTTATTAATAGTATAGATATAGATATTTGCTAAGGTATTTTTTATAAATAAAAATTTTATCATGTTAAGGTATTTTTATTAATAGTATAGATATAGATATTTGCTAATTGTGCTTATCATGTAAAATTTTGGGTTATTCGTGTTTGATACTAGCATGACTTGTTTATTATTTGTGTTAGCACGTTATGTCATTTTTTGGCTTATGTCAGGAATTAGTCAATTCCAATGCGTTAATTTCATCTAAGCCTTGCACTTTTTAGTTTGTCAATACTTTTTTGAAAAAAAGTAACGTGTTTGACAAATAAGTATTGTGACATATTTTGAATTTTGAATTTATAGTTTTGTCCAAGAGCAAAATATGTGGTTAGCAAGTGTAGCAAAATTTAACAGAATTTGAAACTAAAGTTAGTCTGAGGGTCCCATTTGAACCAATCTATGACATTCAATGTATAATGTAAAAAAAAAAATTAATCGAGGTACAAAATGAGAATTTGATTATCTTTTAGGGTCTAAAGTGCAAAAAATCACATAATAAATACAAACCTTAAATATTGATTAGAAACACTTTTATCCAAAACATTTACAAGATTTTCAAATAGATTTTTTCTAGATAAACAAATATTGTATATTAATCTCATTATCAATATAATTAATAATATTCTCCTAACACATCCAAAATAACAACGGTAGGAGAGACGGAATAAGATACAAGGAGAGAGAAACACAAAGCTTTAGAATGGGTTTTCAATAACATTTCAAGGGAATTCAATAAGCCAACTATAAAAGTTTATGGAATTAAGAATAGAATTTTAATTCAAATGTGAGAGATGATTAATTGGATTAAGATGCACGAGAGTTATTTTTTTAGGGCGCAAATTTAGAAATACACCGAAATATGTATAGAAATTTGTTTGCAAAAAAAAATAAAAATACAAATTGTATGGGGACAATGCATTGCGTCTCTCTCTCTCTCTCTCTCTCTCTTGCATACACGCGGGTGCACATTAGTACGATACTAATTGGCAGGACTCCTGTATGGATCCTCAACCCCCAAGGTGACACGTGACCCAATAAAATCATTAGGATGTCTGGAAGATGCCGAGGGGGTGAGTCGAGGCGTGGCGACACAGAGTGGCCGAGTATAACAACTGGTATCATAATCAAAACGATGTGACCTCGCATTTATGACGAAATAAGTGATAGTGATAGGACAAATAAATGCGAGCCTGCTGTTAACTGCTCTCTACAAGTCTATGCCTACTGTCATGATGGCTGAAGCATTAATGACTAATGCGTCGAGACAACGCGATTGGTTCTCCTGAGTTCCCTAATCCGCTGAGTATTCCGTGCTCCGTCGGTGTCAGACGCCAACCTTTTGGATTGGGATGCTCGGCTCGTAGTATAAATGCTCGGCTTGTGGTCGAGCACTTACACCATTCCCCTAGCATTCAATTGGAGGAGGCGTAAAGGGGAAGCATTCACAGCACGAGGGATAATGTGCCAAATGTGGGATGTCCAGATGGGACTGAAGATCTAGAGCAATCATTGCTAATTCAGGTATAAATATCCCTCAGAAAAATGGACAAAGGTACGCAAAATAAAACCAGAGTACATCTACTAAGAAACAGCCCTTCGATCTTATTGGCTTAAGCTTCGGAGGGGATCCGCCGGGCTCACGCCTGACCCCCTTTCTTCTAACCCCGTCTTTTTCAGGTTCGCTAATCAAGGGATCACTACCTTACAAGATTGCAAGAATCATCCCATGCAATTTGGCGCCGTTTGTGGGAATCGAAAGCGTTGCTAAGTTTTTCAATGGCAATCGTTTGATGGTGAACACTCGATCTCAGGGTGAGGGAGTAGGTGTATGGGACAGGAACGCAAATCCCGTCCGGCTTCCAATGGTCATGGAACCGGGTTCATTAGGCCAATCAGATGGGTAGGGGCGCTCGTCGCAAAGAACGCTCC